CTTACGTATATCTTTGGGCATATACTATTTAGTTTCTGTTAGGTCGTAGCTCGAGGGTGTTTCTAGGCTTCAAGTTATTGGATCAAAAGATATAGTTTTGCGATTGTATCAAGTTTTGCCACATTGCTTCCTAAAATGATTAATGTCAATTAAATAAATGTTTATTTATTTTGAGAGAGAGAGAGAGAGGGGGGGGGGAGCATGCGAGCAGAGGAAGGGAAGAGAGTGAGGAGGAGAGACAACCCCAAGCAGGCTCTGTGCTGTGAGCACAAAGCTCAATGCAGGGCTCGATCCCATGAACCGTTGACATCATGACCTGAGCCGATGAGCTGACCTGATGCTCAACTGAGGCACCCAGGCGGTCCAAACCATTGTTAATTAATCATGCGTGTTAATTGTGCTGCACAAAAAGTTACCATAAAATAAGTGGTTAATACAACCCACTCTTATTGTCTCACTGCTTCTGTGAGTCAGGGGTCCCAGCATAACTTAGCTGTGTCCTCTGCTTCAGAGTCTGTCACAGGTTACAGTGAAGGTGCTCAGGCTGTTGCCTCTTCTGAAAGCTCGACTGGGGATGGATTAGCTTCCAAGCTCACTCAGTTGTCAGGATTCAGGTCCTCGCAGGCTGTTGGACTGAAGGCCTCAGTTCTTGGCCAGCTGCTGGCGGAGGCTGCCCTTACTTCCTTGCTATGTGGGACTCTCCAATCCAGCAGCTTGCTTCATGAGAAGACGCCAGAGTGGGTTAGCAAGACAGAGGATTTTTTGTAACTTGTTACAGAAGTGATACCCTTTATGTTGCTGGATTCTACTGTTTCGAACCAGGGGAGTAAAGGGAGAGGATGACACAAGGCCAAGAGCACCCGGAGAGGGGGATCCTGGGGGCCATTTTGGAGGCTGTCTGCTACAAATATCACCAAGAACATATGCTCGTGCCAATTTTACAGCAACTGCCCTAAAACGGAATGTTCTAGCATTTTAAAATTACCAATTTAGTAGGTGGAAGACTTCTCCCATTTTAATGCCCTCTGCTCTGGCCTCATATCTACACCAGAGGGACATGGGTCCTTTGTTCTCAGTTGCTACCACGTAATTTCCCAAAAGCTGTCAACTGATAGCAACTCAGCTAAGGAGCTGCTCTAAATTGGGACTCTGAAAAGCTCTAAGCACAGACCTGTACTAGGCAGCAGTGAGTTCCCTGGGAGGGTTCTGGTCTCAAGGAATTGCTGGTATTTGGACAGCAACTCTAAGCCCTGAACACCCTACTTGTATCACTTAAAACCATGGGAATTTAGGAAACCAATCTTCTTTTAATTTTTTTAATGTTTTAAAAATTTATTTTTGAAAGAGAGACAGAGCATGAGCAGAGGAGAGGGGCAAAGACAGGGAGAAAGAGAATCCGAAGCAGGCTCCAGGCTCTGAGCTGTCAGCACAGAGCCGGACGTGGGGCTTGAACCCATGAACCACAAGATCATGACCTGAGCTGAGGTCTGACATTCAACTGACTGAGCCACCCAGGCGCCCCCAAACTAATATTCTTGTAAAGCTTACGATATACTCTCACCAGGATTCGCATTTTGCAAACTTTATTTCACTTTCATTATCAAAACAATACCGTAAGCTACATATTACTATCCCCGTTCAATAGAAAACTTGGGGATGGAGATGTGAAATCACCTGTTCAAGGTCACTCTGCCAGAGTGGCAGGGCCAGCATTTGAACCCATAGCAGGATATCCGGGGATAAACGAAAACAGATCTAAGAAACTAGCACTGTGTCTGGTACACAGCAGAGGCCCTCTAAACATTACTGTAGGAATACAGGGGGCAGGAGGCCTCGCTGAGGAGCCACACATCTCTTCCAGACCCAGCCTGTGATACACGCACGCTAGAGGATGGGGGTTCCACGTGCACGCACCAGCCATAGGCACGGCCACACAGGGCATGGTGCCCTGGATACTGGCTGGTGGGACGCGTCTGGCTTGCTAGGGTCAGGAATGGGCAGAGCCAATGATGGCATAAAGACTCTGGGGCTCCCTTTCCTATATTCCAGCTGTGTGTGTGTGTGCGTGTGTGTGTGGCATGGAGTGGGCAGATCTGGGTGTGTTGACAGAGCCTTCTGTTGCCTATTCGGAGTCTGCAGGACTGTTCTGGGCGGGGGGGGGGTATCTTTGCACATTCACACTCAGAGAACCATGATCGTTGGCGGGGGGGAGGGCACAACTCAACAGGACAATGCGCTCCTGGGACCCGGGGCAGAGTGTTGACGACTGAGGCAGGCCACAGGCATCTAAGATGAAGGGCCGCACTTACAGGTAACTTCCTGCCACCTGGCCCATCACTGAGCTCTGGAGAGTGTTTTTTAATCTTTCCAGGATCAACACCCAAACCTGTGTGCGAGGGCACAATAGATGACAACATTGCGGGGGGGGGGGGGGGTGACCTATTTCCTAAAGCCTCTTGAAGGCCCTGGTGACCTGATCAGTCAGTCACCTGTGCTCTATCAGAAGTGACCAGAGGGTCCTGGTCTCCCCACGGAACGGCCATCACAGAAGATCCTGCCCCTGGAAAGCCCCAAGTGGGAAGGTAGGACAGGGTCGCCTGTGATTCATATGGCCTCACCCATGTGTGCAGCCAGGATGTTGTTGTTCCGACTCCAGGGAGCCGGGCCTGCCTGCTGTAGCTTAAAAGCCCTGTTCATTTATGCAGAAATGTTATGGAAAGACTCAGTGCGGAGCCCTATACAGGACACGAATACTGCCCTCATAGACGGCACACTTCAGCAGAGGAGATGGTAAGCCATTAACGTCATGGCAACTTGCACAGTCACAGTTTGCGCTAAGGACTGGGGAAGGGTACGAGGTGCATGACAGGCGTGAATGGGGAAGGGTCCCATGGTCAGGTCACTGCGCACTCCCACAGGAGGAGCACTAAATACCAGAGACAAGGGCAGAATGGGAGAGAGCACCCCAGATCAAGGCACTGTGTGGGGAAGGAAAAGCAAAGCAGTGAAGGAGCCAAAGTGCTGCTGAGGTCAGGATCCACAGACCAGGGGAAGGGGACACAAGATGGTCAGAGAGGCCATCAGGCCCCAGCTCAGAGATGCAGCTCCAGCAGAAAGCACAGGGAGGCCCGCAAACGGCTTTAAGCAGAAAGGAACCCAGTCAGACCTGCACTTCCAAGAGCTGGGGGGGGCGGGGGGGGGGCGCGATGGCCAGGAAGCCTGAGGGAGGAACTATCTGGGAAGGGCGAGGACGGGGCTGAGGGCTGCCTGGCCATGTACAGAATGCAGCAGGCAGGCAGGGGAGGGGCGGTGCACAGGGTGAAGGCTCTGGGCCCAGGTTTGGAGGTGTGGGGACCCGGAGCAGCTCAGGAGCACAAAGTTTGTGACGTGGAGTAGAGGCAGCCAAAGCAGCAGCCATCCAAGGGGATCGCGTCCCTTCCCACAGGGGCTCCCTTTCCGTACCTGTCCGGCAGGTCAGCAGGAGTGCCTGGTGTGGCCATCTTTCTGCTCCTAGAGTACTGAAAGTAGCTGGGGTGGGGAGCTCACCAAATCCAGACCCCAAACCGCGTGTCTCCAGCCCAGATCACACAGTCATACACGGGGCAGCAGCTGGGGGACACCCTGAGGGGCCCCTGGAAGAAAATATTTCCCAGAGTGGATGCGTGTTCACCCACTCACGGACTCATCCACCTACGCTTGCGTCAAGTGTGTGCCCAGCGCCCTCCTGGAGACCTGAGAGATAGGGGGTGTGCCCAGGCCGGACGTGGGGACCCCCAGGCTGGCCCAGTGGAGCCAGAGCACCGATCTCCAGCCACCGTGAAGGATGCAGCAGGGAAGACATGCCACCCCACCCCTGCCCACTCTCCATTCAGTCCCCGGCCACCACTGAGTGGGCTTCCGGGTCCTGCTTTGCACACTTCCCCAGGCGTGGCCTGATCTCTCTGCCCTGAACTACTTTGACAACGGACCCGAATTCTTCCACTGTTCCAGGGAAAACATAATCGACAATAAATAAATAAATAAAGAATCAACTGGCGCCCTGGCCATAAAACTGTCCCCGCCTTCCCTGGGAAGGGGTCTCCTGTTCAAGGACCAAAAGTGGGGTCTGCTCTACCCATCACTACAAGGCCCAAGGGAAGCGGCGCCTTGGTGGCTCAGTCTGATAAGCGTCCGACTTTGGCTCAGGTCATGATCTCACAGTTCAGGGGTTTGAGCCCCATGTCGGGCTCTGTGCTGACAGCTAGCTCAGAGCCTGGAGCCTGTTTCAGATTCTGTATCTCCCTCTCTCTCTGTCTCTCCCCTGCTCATGCTGTCTCTCTTTCTCAGAAATAAATAAAACATTAAGAAAAAAAAGTACAAGGCCCAAGGGAAACAAACAGAGCAAGGCTGAGGCACCCTCCTGGGCCCTGAGTGTGACACCAGGCTCACCCCCACCCTGCTTCCTCCTTGCCCCCTGAAAACCAGCTCCCCCTGGCCCTCCCCACTGCGGCCCTCTCCTTCCCAGGCGCTGACCATGCATCTGCAGGCTCCCTCTCTGCAGGGCCTCAGCTTTGCGACAGCTTGTTCCTTCCTTTTCCTTTGGCCACAGGTCTCGCCAGCTTCCGGCAACACCTTCCCCTTCAGGCCCAGGGGCTCTGTGTGAGCACGCCATCTTCACTGGACACATCACCCTTGAAGCTCTCCCTCAAGCTCCCATTCCCCAGCCTCTCAGAGCCACACTGACTTCTCACCTGGGCCTCTTAAGCTTTTGATGTCTGGGGCACCTGTGGCTCAGTCGGTTGAGCGTCTGACTTCGGCTCAGGTCACGATCTCACGGTTCGTGGGTTCGAGCCCTGCATCGGGCTCTGTGCTGACAGCTCAGAGCTTGGAGCCTGCTTCAGATTGTGTCTCCCTCTCTCTCTGCCCCTTCCCAGCTCGTCCTTTGTTTCTCTCAGTCTCTCAGAAATAAATAAAAATGTAAAAAAAAAAAAAAAAACCAACTTAAAGCTTTTGACGTCTACTGCAGTAGAAGGAAAATGGGACTAACCAGGTAAACCACAGGGTGGTTCTTCATGTCCTGCAAATACCTCCAGTAGAGAGATGTGGCCTGACTCCCCCAGCCGGCTGGCATTCAAACACCATGGAGGGACACCCCATTTCTTCATGGGATGTCCTCTTGGCCAGGCCCTTGTATCCAGAGCTCACTCTGCCCCCCAATCCTGCCCGGTGATTTCCATCATCCCCATTTTACAGCTGAGGAAAACCAAGGCTCAGGTTCAAAGGGACTTGCCCAAGCTCACTGGGATCACGAGCAGTGGACTGGGATAAAATCTAGGCTGTTTAATTCCCAAGTCTGACTTATGGGCTGTGGGTCCAGGGACACCAAGAGAGCCCCCAGAGTCAATGGCAGGGTGGTGCCCGCAGCCACCGCCTCTGTCCTTGTCCCTCAGGAGCGGCCCGAGTTGAGCGTGGCCCTCCATGTCTGCAGCACTGAGTCCCGGCGAGTTGTGTAGGGTAAATGTTTGATGCGGAACCAGTGCCTGGGAACGATGTTCCCACTGGGCGTATACAGCTTCTCTCCACGTGTGCCCAAGAGGCTGCGCAGGGCCACGTTGCCAGATAAAACTTTCTCGTAGAACTCCACCCCGCCCCGGGCATAGGCCGCGGACAGGGAGGCCGTGCGGCGGTCCAGCCAGGCTTCCAGGGCGTGCGTGAGAGAGTCTGTGGAGAGGGCGTAGGCCACAAAGCCCACCACTGCCGCCACCAAGTTGAAGGCAGCCCGTATGTTCATGGGGCCTCCATAGAGCCCCAGGGCATGCTTGGCACCCACGCCCAGTGCCCAGGTTCCCGCCAGGCATGCGGGGGCCATCAGAGCCTGTAGGGCGGCCGCGCTGCTCTCCAGATATACCACCTCCTTGGCCAAGGCAAACTTCTGGGCGTCGTGGGACAGGGTCAGGGCGTCTCTCAGCCGGGCACCTGCCGGGCTCTGCCAGCTCACTCTCTGCCCGTGTACAACCACTGGGTGATCGGGGCTGGTCAATGAGCCACCCAGGAAGCTGGCCGGGATGCCCACGACAGCCCCGGCGGGGAGCCTCGGGAAGCCAGCGCTCACAGGCTGGAAGGTGAAGGTGGTGAAAGCCTCATAGTTATGGCCCGCGGGGACACCGGTGTCCTGCAGCACCTCCTGGAAGAGTCTCTGCAGCTCTGGCGAGAGTGGGGCTGGCAGGCCCTGGGGCCAGTATTGGTAGAGCCACTGGATCACAGGATCCGGGAAGAGGTGGTATGAGATCTGGGCCCCAAAAAGGCCTGCACAGGAACCCACCAACAGTCCTGTCCTGTGTCTCTGCAGGAACGCTGCGGCCCGCCACAGGGGACCTGCCATGAGCACTGTAAACCTGAGCCAAGGAAAAGAGAAGTCAGCCGACAGTTCCCTGGGTCTGCCCGCAGACTGACCATGTCCCACAGCCACGTCTTTTTAACGGAGGCAATACCGCAAGGTGGTTATGGGCGTGAGCGCCAGAGCCAGAGCTCCAACCCAAACTCTGTCTCTCTTTGTCACCTAGCCACCTACCCGACAGGCATGGGACAACGGCATCACTAGGGTGGCTGCGATGAGTATATGAATGAACCCACAGAAAATAATTGGTCTGGGACGGCAGCAGACACCCCTTGTGATAATGCGTGATTATTACTTTTATTCCCGTGGCTAGACACAGCACCCGGTCCCCAAATGCCTCATTCCACTATTCACCCCACGGTGAAGCCCCACGATCACTAATTTATAGGTGAAACCTGTGTTCAACCTACTGAGTACTTCCTATATGCTAGACACAACTCTTGGAGCTTTATACATATTATCCAACAATCGAATCCTCACAACTCCATGACCTAATTACCACTATTGCCCCTATTACTTACTTATGAAGTAGGGTTCCACGCCCAGTTCAGAACCCGACATGGAGCCTGAACGCATGACCCTGAGCCCGTGACCTGAGCTGAGATCAAGAGTCGGATGTTTAATGGACTCAGCCACCCAGGCGCTCCTACTGCCCCTATTTTAAAGCACTGGAAACTGAGGCACAACAGGTTAAGTAACTGGGTCAAAACCCCAGACTGGCAAAGTGGCGGTATTTTAGGCTAAGGTGTGCTCCCCCCAAATTCACATGCTGAGGTCCTAACCCCCAGTCTCTCAGAATGTAACAGTATTTAGAGCTGGGGGTCTTTAAAGAGAGGATTAAGTGAGGTCGTGAGGGTAGGTCCTCATCTAATACGGCTGCGATCCTTAAAGAGAACACCTTAGGACACAGCCATGGGAGGAAAACCATAAGAGAACACAAACCGGAAGGTGACTATTTACAAGCCAATGAGAGCAGTCTCGAAAGAAACGTCACACTCACACCTTAATCTTGGACTTTCAGCCTCCAGATCCTGACAAAATAAATTTCTGCCACCCAGCACTTGCCCTGTCAGCCCTAGCGGTGACTAACACGGACACAGCATGTGAACACAGGCTAGCAGGGGTCCACAGCACTTTTCATTTCAGAACAAAATTTAACGCTAAATTACAAACATATAAAAAAGTAGACAAACGAGCACTTAGCCAATTTCAACCAACTCATGGCCAATCTTGTTTCCTCTCTTCTCCCACCCACAGTCCTCTTCCAACGGGTTTATTTTGAAACACATCCTGGGCGCCCTCTTATTTCATTCGTAAATATTTCAGCAAGAATTCACAATTATTTTGCTTTGCTTGAAGCTTACTCTCTTCCTGCCTCTGAAACGTGTTTAAATAGCACGTAAGTGGCTACAAACAAGAACGTGGGGTACCGCCTGGCCTACTGTAACAAAAATCTCCCAAGGGGGCACATCACTGGGGCCTATTTTCCCAATGAAGACACCAAGGCTAGGAAAGCAAGGGTCCTGGCCAAGGTCCCAACGCCCCCAGGCCCACCAGGACCAAGGCCACGCTCCAGGCTGGGCGAGGAGGGGCCGCGGGATCGCCGCAGAGGGCTCCCCGCCGGCTGTCCATCCCGGGTCCCTAGGCTGCGCACGGCGGCACGAAGGCGCTGCAGGAGCGGACCCCGGGGAGGGGGGGTCCATTCCCGGCTCCCCGAACCTGCCGTCCCCTCTGGGCGCTCACCTTCTCCACCGCCGCTGAGTACGTCGCGACACGTGCGCGAGGCGGGCCGAGCTCACGGCGCGCCGGCCTGGGTTCTGGGGGCGGGGACTACAAGGGGCGGGCCTGGCTCAGAGCGGGCTCTGGGGGCGGAGCAGGAGGCGGGACGTCCGGGGCGGGGCCTGGGGCGGGGCCTAGCCCGCGGGAGGCAGGGGCTGGAGCTGGAGGCTCCTCCCCGACTGAGCGCTTTGGGGCGGGGCTGAGACCTGCGAGGCCTTGGCCTTCTGCAGTGCTGCGCGGGCAGGAGCTTCCTTCTCTGAACAGCCTTCTCTAAACAGAGGGCTCGCTTAGCCCTCTAGGAAACGGGGTCCCACGTGGGTCAGGGTCACCTGACTCTCAGGACCGTGGCCTTTCCTGTCTAGAAGCGTTCGCCGCAAGTGGTCTGCTCTGGGCTTTATTTTGTTACCATAGCAGCTGCCCCCTGGCCCATTCCTCTCAAGTGATCCATGCTGCACAGCTCATAGAGCAGCGTCGCACCTGTCACCTCATCTTCCCAGCAGCGCTGCAAGTAAGTCAGGGATCACCTTGCGGGTGGACCAAGTCCAGTTCGCCACCTGTTCTTGTAAATAAAGTTTTATTGGAGGACAGCCATGCCTGTTTCTTGACATGTTGCACATGGCTGCTTTCTCCCAGAAGGGCACAGTTGACTAACCAGGACAGAGACAGTCTGACCCAGAAAGCCTAAAATTTTAGCTATCTGGCCCTTATGGAAAAAGCCTGTGGACACATGAAGTACCTTATTCCCATCTTACAGATGGAGAAACAGAGGCATTTAGCTTGGGCAGCTCGTATGCACCTAGCATGCACCGGAATGGCACAGGACTCCTGTCCCTGTACATTGCCCATTTCATCTCCTGCCTTCATACAAATTCAACCTAGTCGGCCTTGCCCATTCTCCCAAGTGGGTCTGGCCTCTGTGTCCGACTTCCTCTTCCATCTAAGCCCTCCCCTACCATCTCCAAAGAGGGAGGAGGGCTTAGGTCCTGGGTGGAAAGGTGGCCACCACGGAAGATAAAGACGTAAGGAGACCCAGAAGCCTGTGGGCACTGGGATGGGGTTTTGGATGGTTAGCAGGCAGTGGGCCACTGTGTCTCCAGACAAACCATCAGCTCAGCCCTCTCTGCAGGGCTCTTGACCATGCAAGGGCCAGCTGCAGTCATCAGTCAGGACCATACCGGATTCCTAGCCAACCCTCTGTGTGTAGCATCTGTCTCAGGCTTGCCCAGCAGCCCCTTCTGGAGCTGGCAGAGATAACCCCACTGACGCCAGAGAAGAACCTAGATCTGGTGCGGCTGCCCCCAGACCTGGGTTGGTCCCTCAGCCCAGAAGCAGTGCTTAGGGAGACTGAAAGAGACCTTTCTTAGGAGGCAGGGGGCTCTTTCATAAAGGATGTCACCCGCCATGGACCTCAGTTTCCTCATCTCTAAAGTGAGGCTAACATCTGCCTCAAAGGACCACGTTACCTCCTAATCCTAGAAGTTTCCTAGACACTCTCATCTGCATAGCAAAAGAGGGGGCCACTTCAAATCACATGCCCTTGAACAGGACTTGGGGTCTCCCTTCGATCTTGACCTGGAAAGTCCGTCATAAAGGGTTCTGTGACCGGATGTAAATCTAGCAACGGTGCAGGGCACAGATGATGGCGCTAGACTGCCGGGGGTGCATCCTGGCTCTACCCCTTACTAGCTGTGTGATTTTGGGCACATTCACCTTTCTGGCCCTAGTGTTCTCATTAATAACACGGGATGAGAGTATCATCTACCTCCTAGGGTTATTGTGAGGATTCCATGAGTTCATGTACGTACGATGTCCAGCACAGTTTGTACCAAGTAGCTATTAGCTATTATTATTGAGATCTGTTCTGGTTCTGACACACCAACTCTGACTGCTCATTTGTTTGTATGTGAACGGTGCTATAACATGCTTCGATATGTGACCTCAGCTAGACTCAGAAAGTGGGATCGTCTATAGGGCAAAGGATGTGGTCTTTCTAACAAATCAATGGCATCAAAAACAACAGAAAGGAGACAGTCACAAAATAAGAGATGTGGAAGACATGGCAGATTAATGCAAGATGCGGCTTTTGTTGGGATCCTGAATCAACAGATTACTGAGTGTACAGAAAAGACACCTTGGAGACAACTGGGGAGATCTGATTATGGACTGAATGTTAAGTGATGTTAATGAGTTGTGTATTTTGCTAGGTGAGATGAAGGAAGATATTTATGTAAACTAAAACGTCCTTATCAGCGATGCCTATTGAAGTATTTACGGGTGCAACAACATGATGTCTGCTATTTAAAATATTACAGCCCAGGGTGCCTGGGTGGCTCAGTTGGTTAAGCGTCCGACTTTGGCTCAGGTCATGACCTCACGGTTCGTGGGTTTGAGCCCCGCGTCAGACTCTGTGCTGACAGCTAGCTCAAGGCCTGGAGGCTGTTTCAGATTGTGTCTCCCTCACTCTCTGACCCTCCCCTGCTCACTCTCTCTCTCTCTCTCAGAAATAAATAACATTAAAAAAAATTACAGCCAAAACAAAACTACCACCATCAAAACAAAAACCATTATAGATGAAACATCAACAAAATGTTGGTAGTTGTTGAAGCTTCATGACGTTGTTGAAGTTGCAGAGGGCATTCATTATCCTGTGCTCTACTCTACGTATATTTGGAAATTTCCATAATGAAATATGTTTTTGTTAATGTGTATTTAAAAGTATGCTGACCAATTGGGCTTCATTAAATTAAAAACTTTTGGGCATCAAAGAACATTATCAAAAAAGTGAAAAAACATCCACAGAATGGGAGAAAACATTTGTAAAGCATAGATATAATAAGGGCCTAGTTTCCAGAATATACAAGAAATTGTAACAACTCAACAACCAAACGACAAACAACCTAATTTAAAAGTGGGCGAACTGGGGCACTTGGGTGGCTCAGTTGGTTAAGGGTCCGACTTCAGCTCAGCTCATGAACTCGAGGTTCATGGGTTCGAGCCCCACGTCAGGCTCTGTGCTGACAGCTCAGAGCCTGGAGCCTGCTTCAGATTCTGGGTTTCCCTCTCTCTCTCTCTCTGTCCCTCCCTGCTCACACTCTGTCTCTCTCAAAAATAAATATTAAAAATTTTAAAAGAAGAAAAAGTGGGCAGATGACTTGAATAGACACTTCTCCAAAGAAGATGCACAAATGGCCAATAAGCACATAAAAAGATGGTCAGCATCCTTCATCCTTCATCATTAGGAAAACACAAGTCAGATCCATAATGATCTGAATGCTACTTCACCCACTGGGACGGCCATGGAAACAAAACAAACCAACAGAAAATAAGTGAGAGAGTGCGGAGAGACTGAAGCTCTCATCCGTTACTGGTGGGAATGTAAAATGGGTCAGCCACTCCAGAGCACACTTTCTCAGCTCCTCATACAGCTAAACATAGAATTCTTATATGATCTGGCAATTCTACTCCTAGGAATACAGACAACCCTCTTAGCTGTGAAGGATGGGGTCTAAGAGAGGCTTTGTGTTGTTCGCCATGTTTATATGATAATGACCTGAGGAATATTGTATTGAGAGTATCTCATTGAGAGAGACAAATTGATGATGGCAGAGAGAGGGGATCCCAAGGAAAGAATTTCTTGGGTAGGTGAGAGGGGATGGGGTCCAAGGTGTGAGTGGGAGAGGGAGGAGGATCAGGAGCAATTGTTTACTGTAACAAGATAAAGCTGCCATCAAATCAACACGTTGTAACCTTAAACTTACATAATTAAAAAAAAATCTTATTTATATATTTTTGAGAGAGAGAAAGAGCGAGTGGAGGAGGGGCAGAGAGAAATGGAGAGAGAGAGGAGAGAGAGAGACACAGAGAGAATCCCTCTGCACCGATAGTGTGGAGCCTGATAGGGGGCTCGAACCCACAAACAGTGAGATCATGACCTTGGCTGAAGTCAGATGCTTAACCAACTGAGCCACCCAGGGGCCCCAAACTTACATGATGTTATATGTCAATTATATATCAATATATATATATTGGGGGGAAAGGAAGCTGTGGTCCGTGGGCCCAGGCTAGTGATTTCACAGTGGGAAGATGAGGCTGTTCTTACCTGATTGCTTGTTTCCTTGGTGACACGTGGAAGTACACTGAGGTACACTCTCAGCTGAGAGTGTAGTGGGGACAGGGTGAGAAAAGTATGAAGAAAGCAGAAAAGATGTGAAATTTCCACTGAAGAGGAGGAAAGAACCCACCAGGAAACTGTAATGATTGTTGGACCACATTGAGTGCCCATCTGAGATCTGGGTCAAAAACAGTGTGAGACCAGTTAGTACAGTTGTGTGATTGTCTCCAACAATGTTCAGATGCTCAGGTGCAGGGACGGGTGGACGGATACTTGAGGGGTTGAGCCAGAGGTAGAGTTTGCCAGTCAAGTGTAGAGTCGGGAGAAATGAACAAGGGAGGTGACGCCATTCATTTGCAAAGAGGCGGTCATATAGTGATGGACCATGAACTGTAGACTAGAGAAGAGGACAATGAGGGCCCGTGGGGATGATTTGTGTGCTTCCCACGGAAATGGTGGATGCCATGTGTACTCAGCACTGTTTCTAAGCCCTTGCAGAAGGAAGGAGTGGCAAGATCATTGTCCTGGTGGAACATAAGGATTGTTGGCATGGGGTCACCACAGTAAGGTGCATAGAAGTATAAGGAGGTGGTGATTAGAATGGGGGAGACTGGAAACGGACACTTCAGAGGTGGTGTCAATATTGGTGATGGCAAGATGGTCAAGAGTATGATTGTGGGAGTCAATGGCTATGGTGAGGTGAAAGAGATTGCTGAGAACTGAGGAGGTGTATGACTCGTGTTTTTGTTTTTTTTAATTTTCCATATTAATGATATTTTGACAATTTAGGGGTCTTGCTAATCCTGGAAAGTCTGCCCCTCCCAGGACTAGTGAATTCCTAGAGAGAACAAATGACTCCCTCTACTTCCACCCTAAACATACCTTTCACACGGAAAACGAACCAATCCAGAGCCCTTACCCCCC